TACAGGCAGAGGGGGCTACCCTCAGCTCCTGCCTAGGACCCTGGGCATGCTCTGCTTCTCGCCCACTTACAGGCAGAGGGGGCTACCCTCAGCTCCTGCCTAGGACCCTGGGCATGCTCTGCTTCTTGCCTGCTTCCAAGCAGAGAGGACTGCCCTTAGCTCCTCTGTTTTTGTTTATTTAAAATTACAGTTGCATGCTGCTTATTTTTTATTTTTGTTTTACTAACCTTTCTTTGTACATTTTCCCCTCTCCTTTTAAACTTACATTCAATTGCTCATCTAGAATTTATCTATATGTTTTAAACTTACTTTAACCTATATTTCTCTATGAACATCAAGAATGGAAGTATCTAAAACATTCTTCTGAAACAAAATTGTGGCATACTTTTACTACTATTCTCTTGCCTCTCAGATTCTGTTGACCATTTATTTATTTATTTATTTACTCACTCACTCTTGGCCATTTATTGAGCCTCTGCCTCAAAACTGCCAAGCCTCAAATCCCATGCAATGGCTAGCTAAGCATTTCATAGTATAACACCCCAAAGTTGACTTAGAAAGCATTTTGTATATGGGGAACTTTGAGGAATCCAATATAAAATTTTACCCACTCAAGGCAATTTGTAAGTATTTAGAAACCATCAACACTTAGAACAGGGTTAAGAACACCAACTAGCCTGTCAGGTGAGGCACAGTGGTCCAAACACATAACCCAGCTGTCTCCTCTTTGAAAGTGCAGAGCTCAGACAATGTGAGATGGTGCAGAACAGACAAGGGTAGTGTGTCGAGAAGTCCCCAGCAGGCATGGACCTTGACAGGTCTAATGTCAACCACACAAGCCACCTCTGCCTGCTTCGTCTCCCTCTCAAAGTGCCACAACTCAGTCCTTCACAGACTTTTCCCCATGACTGAGGCTTCTGGTTTTCTCCCCACTTGCACTAAATTATTTTAGAAACAGTGTAGAAACATTTTTAATTTTAAAGATACTCCTTAACTACCTGCCAAATTAAAATGCACATAATTCAAATCCTATTCCATTTGCCTTTCTGTGGCATTTGACTCATTAATTCTCTTTTCAGACGACTAAAGTCCCAAATCTTGCCCTTAAAAATCTAGCGCCTCCTTGACCTGTGACAGCTCTCCTGGCTTTCCTCCTCTTCCTCACCCACTCCCTTAGGAATTGTGTACTCAGCATTCTATCTCTGCGTCTTTTCAATCTATACATTCTCCCCAGTTCCTAAGACTTCAAGTCTCACCCACATGCCGTGACTCTAAAACCCAGTTCGTGGCCAGCTCAGGTACAAACCTCCCCCACAGCACCTCCACCAGCATGCTCCTGGTGCATCTGAAGTGGAATATCCAGGCAAGATGAAGGACTCGGGGAGAAGGATTCTTGAATGTGAAAAAGTAACCCAGAAGTTAAACTGCCAAATGGAAAGGCCTCACTTCATCTACAACCAGTTGATTCTAATTTGACCTCAGGATGTCTATCAAGTTGACTGGGAAAACATGTCCAGCCTCAGCTCAGTATCCTGAGCTCAGCCACACCCAACCACCAAACCAAACCCATCTGTGCCTTCCACCTCAGTGGCCTGCATCCCATCTCCACCCTATCCCTCCTCCTGGACTCCCCCCGCCATGCTACCATGAACTGAAAACCTGTCACAATCACTTGGCTAAGCATTAGAGTGACTCATCTGCAGCACTTGAAACATGCACGTGCCATTATCTACAGGATCGACATCTCTGGGGAAAGAGACAAGTCGTCTGTAATTTTTTTAGAACTCCATGAGGCATTGTGATACACAGCCAAGATGAAGAACCCACGTTGAACTGGTCACCACATCCGATCAACCCTGTATCTTCAGTCTCCTGACACCCATTTCCTGTGCTCCAGCCCGGCTATGCTCGGGCCTCTGTCATCTCTTGCTCCCCCCCCACCCCCTCCTCCCTTTGTAAGTTCCTCAGTGCCATCGGAAGGGTCCACAGTCAAAACTGTGGCTCATGTCCCTCTCCTGCTCAAACTCCTCAACAGCTCTATTTCCTTTGCGGTAAAATTTAACTCCTTAATTTAAATGACACTCACGGCCTGCTCACCTCTCACCCATTCTTAATCACAGCCACTCACTACCCCCAAGTGTACCATGCTTTCTCAAATTTCCACAGTTTTGGTCAAGCTGCCTCTTGTCTTAAATGTCCTACTTCTCTGTAACCTTCAAGGTCCAGCTCAAAGGTTACTTTGTCCCTGTCTTAGTCCATTTCTGTTCCTTATAACAAAATAGCTGGAACCGCGTGATGTATAAGAAAAACAAAATTTATTGCTTATAGTTTCAGCGGCTCACCACCAAAGAACACATCTGGTGGTGGTGACAATGACCCAAGGGTCTCACATTTGCAAGATGGTAGAAGCAGAGAGAGAGAGAGAGACAGACTCTCCTCTTCTCTTCTTTTAAAGCCCTCAGAACCACGCCCCTGACCACCATCTTTAATCCATTCACTACTGCATGGTCCTACAATCTAATCACCTCTTCAAGCCTCCACCTTTCAGTTACCATAATAGGACTTCCCACCCTCAACAGTCACAGTGGGGGTTAAGTTTCCAATAAATGAAATTTGGGGGACACAATTCAATCAGACCATAGCAGTCCCAAAAGCTTTCCTTGACACTCCCTCCTCCTCAACATTACATTAAATGCCCCTCAAGTCAGCGCCCAAAATGGCCCCATTAATTACAGCACACTGAATGGATCTCCTTGTCTCTCTCTCCCAACAGACTGGGTGCTGCTTAAGGGCTGGAGCTATATGTTCTTCATCTCTGCATCCCCAGGGCCTAGATTACATAAATGATTATTGGATGAATTTGTTTTCCACCCACCTTTCGTTAACCGAAGACATATATAACCCTGATAAAACAGAAAATGTTATTACAATGGCAGATAAAATTCAATTAATGCTTGCTATTCTACTTTCTTTCATTTTTTGGATAAAAAACAGAAATTAATTATCTCAATTCTGGAGGCCTGGAAGTCCAAGATCAAGATGTCAGCAGGGTTGGTTCCTTCTGATGACTATGAGAGAGAATATGTTCTTTGTACTTGAAAAAAAATCTGAAAATAGTGATTATTCTCTTTCACATTCTGATAAGGGTCTGGAATTGCTAGAGCTGAAACAATTCCTTCCTAGGCAGAGGCCCCTGAGAGCAGGCCATCTTTGCGTCCTCTGTATCTGGCTGACACCCGATGGGCTCCTAACGAATGTTTATTAATTGAATTTCAAACTCAACTACAAAATATGAACAGCAAGTCTTTACTAAGAAACTCATTCTTCCTCCTTTCTCCCAATCCGTATTTCATATACCGTTACTCACCCTGTTGGTCACATTCCCAGCCAAACTTGGTTGAGTCACGTAGCGCCTGCCCCAAAAGGGCAGCTTGGTGCATCAGTTTCTTAGGAATACAGCCTACATTTATACACGTACCACCGAGCCCTGAGAAAGGAAACAGCAGTCTTAGTGTTTCATGTGTGTGTGTGTGTGTGTGTGTGTGTAACCTGCAGAGTGTTATTAAAACATGTGGAAATGGCAAGCATGAATGGCAGTGTGGACAACCCTCCTCTCCAAAATAACAGACAAGTGATTCATCTAAACTTTCCAACTGAGGGTCCATGGCTGAGACCCAAGATAGGCAAAAAATATGAATGTGCGTGTGAAAAGTCTGCTGGGGACAGAGTCTGAGTCTGATCCACACAGGAATCAGAAGTAATTTGACGAATCAGACACAAACTACAGCAAGGGTCAAATCTCAGCTTCCAGCCTTTTACTCTCTGTAACCCTGCCTGCTACCCAGAGCCAACAGTCAGCCCACCGCAAGCCGCCTAGTGACATCTGCTCCAAATCCTGAACACCACAAAACACATCACGCATGGAGGCCCTCTGCAGGGCCTGAGTCGAGGAGCCCTCTCTGATTGCAGTCTCTTCTGCTATGCCAGGTAAGTAGGATAACTTCTGAACAGGAAAGGGAGAAGGAAAAGAAAAAAGAAGAAAGAGGGAGGGAGGAAGGGAAAACAAGACAAGTGTACACACACCACAAGAATACCATGACAAAAGTCAAGGCAGATTAACTTTACTGTATGTAATTCTAGGCTAAAACTTTTTGAGTAAGTTTGAATTTTAAAAAATCATTTTCATGTTTTAATCACTCAGGGTTCTGGCAGGAGAGAGAAGACACACTCAAACAAGGTAACTGGAAAGAGTTTATGGAGAAGTTACAGAGTGTGGGAGGCGAGCAAGAAGGGACAGAGTGCCAGCGGGGGACCACTGGCAGCCCATGTCAAGGGGCAAGGAGACTGAGTGAGGGCCACCACCCAGGGGAGCCAGCCATCTGACATGGGAGTGGCCTTCCACAGGAGGACAGAGACAACCTGCAGCCACCCAGCAGGGAGGGAGCCAGAGGCGCAAGACCCCAACTCCATACTCCTCTCTCCCTCTGTTCTCCTCCCACTACTCAAAACTATCCAGGCCCCACCAGAAGCCAGAGGGTGAGGCTACCAACTGACCTGTCCCCTGGGGCAAACAGCGGGGCAGAGACAGAGGGAGAACGCATTTGACGTATAAAGAGAAAACAGCCACACAAAATCTACGTGTTCTATTTTATTGTGGAAAAGACCATGGAAAGGTGAGCTCTCAAGTCTATAGTACAGCAGAGTCATGGGCTGGGACCACATTATGCTCCTTATGAAACTAAACTACAAAGATTACACGCATTAACTCGATCGACTACTGTGCGGTCATTAAAGTCATTTATGAAATTGAAGCAGAAACACAGAAAAATGTTTATGGCAAACTTAGGTGATGACCATACTGTATATACTCTATGACCATGACTATGTGAAAATATTATCACATGTATGTAAAAAACTACGGAAGAAGGGCTGGAATACTGGGGTCATGGAATATTTTTTCTTTTTGCAAAATCTTCCTGAATTATTTTTATGTTATCTTTCCAAGGTCACCACTTGTTAACCATAACCTCACTGAGACTCAGTTTCCTCATGCACTTACAATAGGCTACCTGCATTTCTTGAGACTGTTGCGAGGATTAAATGAGATTATGTAAAGAAAACAACATATGTAAAAAGCAGAGAACAACAACAAAGAAAAATGGCTTACCCCAGGATGTGCCCTGAGGTGACGGGACCACAAAGTCTAGCACCATAACTTTCTTTCCCAAAACGGCAGCTTCCTACAAAGAAAAACTGCACATAAAGATGTTGTCATTTTCCTGACACTCCCCCAATTTTTCTCTCCCCTAAATAAAAACAGACTGTTTTTGTGTAACACGGTCTTTTCCCTGAATTAAGCCAGCTATTACAACAAAAACTTAAATTGTGACATTATAATTATCCTTTTTTTTAAGTAGTGAAGAAATGCTCATGGCAATCACCAGGAAAATTATCTCTGAGTTTCATTTCTGTGCTCGTACCTTCGCGCAGGCAAGGCCACCAGAACCACCGCCAATGACAATGAGATCGTAATCATATGCTGAATCTTTCTGAAGGAGCTTCTGTAACAAACCACTCTGATGTGCCTATGGTTTAATGAAAGCAGAAAGACTATTACATGACCTAACGTTTTAAAGCTGATTATTTGCACCCTGTGTTCAATCAGCATGGATTTCTTTTATAAAAAAATCTTAGAAACAATTATTGAATAATTCATCTAAGTTGGAATTGTAAACTTATTTGGATGCTATTCAAACAGGATCCAAGGAATTAGAACTAATGCCAAAGTACATATATTTTGTCCATTCTAACCTAACACCTGATGGCCAGGCATGTGTCAAATGATCCAGGAGGCCATGGCTTTGTATTGCTGTCGGATGAGGTCAATTTCCTTAGTCTAATCAAGTGCAGCAAAATAATCAAGTATCATTTTTCGAGACCCCTGTGTACCTGTGCTAGTCTTCATTTTGAAAACAATTCTTATGTATCATCAGCATATTTTTTTCATGGTTTCTCATAAATTGATCTGAATTTTGTAGCTGTACTGGTGAACTTCCTATACAGCACAAACATCTTCCTTTTCCTTTAGGCAATAGTCACGAGGTTGGCTTGGCCCAAATTCTCCTGTTAATTTGGCCCTCCTTGTGATCAGAAGTAGCTTCATGAGGTTAGTAGTTTGATGTGTGATTTAGTGAGTTTTCTTTATGCAAAATCAGTTACTCAATGGGCCGGCCCGGTGGCGCACTGGATAGTGCGCCGCTTGGGAAGCGCGGCGGTGCTCCCAGCTTCATGAGGTTAGTAGTTTGATGTGTGATTTAGTGAGTTTTCTTTATGCAAAATCAGTTACTCAATCCCATTACCTTGGCTTTACAAACACCATCCTCAAACTAGACCTTCCTGTGACACACAACAGGTACTTCATAACTGCAGGCAATCACCACATGCTCCGCAGCCCACTAAAGAACGGGTGCCCAATAAGAATTTTGGCACATCCTAAAAAGGATTCCTTCAGCCTCCTCACTTTTAGGTCCCTGATAAGGACAGAACTGTGTCTCCCTAATGTTATGTATTAGAAGCTTGATTCCCCACTGTAACCACTGAAGGTGGGAAATCCTATTATGCTAACTGAAAGGTGGGGTCTTGAAGAGGTGATCAGATTGTAAGGACCTAGCTCACAGGCATGGCTCTGAGGGCTTTAAAAGGACAGCAAGTGAGTCTCTCTCCCTCTCTCTCTCTGCTCCACCATTCTGCCGTATGAGATCCCTGGGTCACTGTCACCACCAACCAGGCCTTCCCTGGATGTGTTTCCTGGACTTTGGACTTCCCAGCCTCTGAAACTAAGCAGTACATTTCATTTTTTAATAAATTACCCAGTTCCAGGTATTTTATTATAAGTAACAGAAGTGGACTAATACAGTGCCCTTAGAGAAATCCATCTCCTAAGGATCTGCCATCCAAGGAAATGCCTTTCAGTCTTGAAAGAGAATTCCTATCTCTGGATCTCCATATTTATTCTCTGCCATCATTTTCCAGGTTAGAATTGGCAAGACCAGCACTTCATAAGGTGTTTAGGGGCTACAGTGATGGTACTTACCACCATGTAAATTGGGTTATAGCTTCTAAAACTAATAAAACAGGCTGTTACTACATAACAATGGTAGTCATAGACTAACATACAATGTAGACAATCTTTTCCCCAACAAAAATATAATTCTTTTTTTTTCTTTTCTTTCCTTTTTTGTCTTTTTTCATGACCGGTAACGGGATCGCAACCCTTGGTGTCGCGCCCGTACCGCGACCGGCAATGGGATCGCAACCCTCGGTGTTGTGCCCGCACCACACTCAGCCAGTGAGTGGACCGGTCTCTATACGGGATCCGAACCCTCGGCGGGAGCACCGCACTCAACCGAGTGCGCCACTGGGCCGACCCATTAATTAAAATCTCAAACATAATATTTAATCAATTACTGATTATTAACATTTGCATACATATATAAAGGATACAACAGAGTAGAATTTTAATAAAAATGAATAATGACCTTTTTAATAAACATCAATTTTTAATCTATCACTGCCTAACTGAATGTCACCTGTTCATCTCTAGCATGGTAGGAATGAAAAAATCAAAAGGCTGGTCCTTTGCAAAATGCCCCATGGTTAGCAGCCCTGACAGAACTTCTAATTACCCTAGATAATAATGTTAGTGTTCACCTCATCTTAGTCGGGGAACAGCCCTCGTTTCTCTCCTCATCAGGAGGTAGAGATGTCTCCAGGGTGGCCAACCTGTCTGTCCTGGTAACCTCACTTAGAAGACAACTTCTTAGCTTCTGAAATTCAGGTTGGTAGAAAAGCTAATATGCCTCAAAGTAATCAAGCTTATCTGATAACCATCCTATACGCTCTCCTATTTCACAACTTCTAAAAGAGAAATGAATAGACTCCTAAAGATCATTTCCGCCCTTTTAAATACTTTTTAAAATAAAGGTTGAGCCAGCAGTGCTGAAAAACACACAATACTATAAATACCTGAAACGTCTGGTCGCATCCGCCCACGTGGACTTTATTCACAAAGATATTGGGCACGGTTTTCTGGTTAGTGATTTCTGACAGCACTTCCTGAACACCGGCCCCATCATCTAAAGAGTAAAAAAGTACATGAAAACATCGGAAAGGGCTCCAAAACCCTGTGAGTTGAACTGTGGTATTACATAGCACCCTGCTCACCTGCACACACCCGTAAGAGATTAGTGTGTTATATAACTTCATGAGTGTTGACTCAAGCAGGGAGCCCACCCGTGCTTTAAAGGAAACCTTAAAAAATACAGACCAATCTACTGGTTCCTTTTAAAATAAACTCTTCTAAATCAGATTTTGACATATAATTCAATGACTATGCCAAGACAAATAGATAAGAACCCTCTTTAAAGAGCAGATATCAAGATAAAATCTGCTGCAGCAATAACTCAGAAAATACTTCCAACAGTTACCTTTGAAAAATCTTACTGAAGGGCCGGCCCAGTGGTGCACTGCTACAGTGCGCCACTTGGGAGTGCAGCCGCGCTCCTGCCGAGGGTTCGGATCCCACATACAGACCGGTTCCCGCTCACTGGCTGAGNGGTGGCGCACTGCTACAGTGCGCCACTTGGGAGTGCAGCCGCACTCCTGCCGAGGGTTCGGATCCCACATACAGACCGGTTCCCGCTCACTGGCTGAGCGAGGTGCAGGAGCAACACTGAGGGTTGCGATCCCGTTGCCGGTCCCGGTCCGGTACGGGCGCAACACTGAGGGTTGCGATCCGTTGCCGGACACGAAAAAAGACAAAAAAGAAAAAAAGAAAAATCTTACTGATCATGGTCCAAAATTCACCCTCCATCCCTAAAAACAAACTGGGCCACAACTACTTAAGACTACCTTATTTGGTATGCTCTTTCAAAAAGTTTCAAAGATTCAAGAGCATTTCACTTAACAAAGCAACTTGGCTAAAATGAGTCAGGGAAATCCAGTGATGACACAGATTGACTTTTTCTGTCCAAAACATCCTCACCCCTGCAAAGCACCTCATGTGTAAAGTGCCTAATTAACAATGGATGTGTGAATGTCAAGAATTCAAATGCATGCTAAAAACTTAATGTGCTCTCCCTCATGGTAACACAATCAGGAAATAGGAGCAGATTCTTCTTATTTATTACAGCTGAAACTATTTTGCTAGAAAGTTGGCAGATGCATCTGAAATGCCTCAAGTACTTCAAAGTTAACAGCTTATACATCTTCCTCTTTTCTCAAATATGAAAAACACATAAATAAAAAATCTACACCGAATAATCTGTCATAGAAGGATTCATTTTCTGCCTCGTTGAATATAGACAAAAATGGCTCATCTAACCCAAGAGACAAGAGCAAGTAGAACTGAACAAAGTAAACAAAAAGAAGTCAATCTTGATGGAATTTATTATAAACAACACTATGTATTAGCAGTTCTACTTACCAACTTGATCAAGTTCCAGGATATTACAGTCAACTCCCAAAGAGGAAAAGAGTTCTTTAACCTGTAATAAAAACACACCTAACTTTCACCCTCACAAAAGAGTCAACAATTATAAAATATGGACTGATGCCTGGAAGGCAAGGACTTCAGAAGATGTGTGTTCAGAAGATGTGTGGAGGCATTCTGAGTTAAAAATCTGACTCCATCCTCAGCCCAGCCGAGTGTGTGCCAATCAGAGAGGTGCCCAGCCAGAGAAGCCCAAGATCCATGGAGACCACGCACCTGGCGGTGCCAGGGCGCAACCCAGTAGGTAGGCCTCGCCGCTGCCGCCCAACTCCATCCCCAGCCCGGCTGAGTGCGCGCCAATCAGAGAAGTGCCCAGCCGGAGAAGCCCAAGATCCACGGAGACTATGTGCCCTGCAGTGCCAGAAGGCAACCCAGCAGATAGGCCTCAACGCTGCTGCCTGACTCCATCCCCAGCCCGGCCCAGTGCGTGCTGATCAGGGAGGGGCCCAGCCAGGGAGGCCCAAGACCCGAGGCCACCATGAACCCGAGGCACTAGCGGGCAGCCGAGCAGACACTGAGGCAGCTATAAAAAAGAATGAAATGCTGCCATTTGCAACAACGTGGATGGACCTAGAGAGAATTATATTAAGTGAAACAAGTCAGGCACAGAAAGAAAAATATCACATTTTCTCACTTTTTTGTAGGAGCTAATAATAAATAAATAAATAAGTACAAAAATAACCTGGGGGGAGGGGAAGAAGACACAACAATTACAATTCCTTGAAGTTGATACGACAAGCCAACAGAAAGGAGATTGTTGGGAGGGAGCGGGGAGAAGGTAGAGGGAGGGAGGTTTTGGTAATGGGCCACAATAATCAACCACATTGTACACTGACAAAATAAAATAAAAATTTAAAAAAAAACAGTTATAAAATATGGGCATAGTAATAAGGAATGTCCAAAATAAAAGTTTTTTAGGAATATGAGTTATGGCCTGAGGTTTTTTCCTTTCCTGTACACATTTTGCAGAATCTCAGCCCATCCCCTGCCTTATATTTCCTGACCACTTATGGTTCCCAAATCTACAGCTTTTGCCCCAATCTCTTTTCTGAACTCAAGACAGGCAATTTATAGTTCTCCATCTGGGTGTCCCTCAGGCGCCTCACGGGCAACATGCCCACAATGCAGCTCATCTTCTTACACACCTTTTCCTCTTTCTGTGATTCCTTTTAACAGTGATTAAGTCATTCCATCATTTTTTACTCATCAAACACTATGTATGGGTCACTTACTGTTCTGAGAACCTGAGATAGAACAATGAACAAGACAAAAACCCTGCCCTCTAGCAGGGAAAACAGATAAGGAAATTGACAATTTAACTGCAGCACCATTCACAAATTGCTTAAACAAGACACCCTACAGCCTTGCTGCTGGAACAGGGGATGGAGCAGCAGGGTGGGCACCACCAGACATGCACAATCTGCACTTCACCAACATCACAAAGTTCTGACTGGGAGTCATTTTATACCCTCCCACTGAGGCAATATCTTCCTACCCACCAACTCCCCACCCATCAAAAACTACCCTGGTAAAGAGGCCCATGTGTAATTGAATCAAAGTGTGGAACAATTTACACGTAGGGCATGGTCACAAACAATGTATAGTGGAGAACAACCAGCCTAAGCTGTGGATGCGATACCAGCAGAGGCAGGCAGCAGAACACAGAGTGTCAATGGGAGCCTGCCAAGCCCTGTGTCCCAGGGTCACTGCACACACCCAAGGCTGCACCTTCTGAGGAGCAACACCAGGTGGAAATAAGCTTTCCTAAAATAACCCAGCCAACTCACTGTAAGGAAATAAACAAGCAAACAAAAACAAGCCACAGAGGAGGGGTTCAGTATCCAGAGTTGCTACAATATATTACCTTAATATCCAATTTTCAACAAAAAATGACTAGACATAAAAAGAAACAGGTAAGTGTAATCCATTCACAGCAAAGAATGTGGGCAACAGAAATGGCCTCTGAGAGGGCCCATATGTGATATTTAACAAAGTAGTCATTAGAACTACTTTTCAAAGAACTAAAGGAACTGTGCTTAAGAAGTCTGTCATACGATGACAGTGACTCATTCAATAAAAAATATTATTAAACAGAAAAACTTATAAAAAAGAACTAAATAATTATTGAGTTGAAAGGTACAATAACTAAAATGAAAAGTTTACCACAGTGGCTTGACAGTAGATCGAACTCGCAGAAGAAAGAATTAGTGAACTTGAGGATAGGTCAATAGAGACTATGCAATCTGAAGACACAGAGAAAAACAAAAATGGACAGAGCTTCAGAGAAATGTGGAACTCTAGTAAGCACACCAACACAGGCATAGTTTGAATACAAGAAAGAAAAGAAAGAAAGGAGATGCAATGTTCAAAGAGATAATAGCTGAAAATGTCCCAAATTTGATGAAAAACAGTCATCTACACATCCAGGAAGCTCAATAATCTCCAAGTAAGATAAATGCAAAGACTGACATTTAGACACATCAGAATGAAAACACTGAAAGACAAACACACATACACAAATTTAAAAGCAGTAGGACAAAAATGTTTCTTCATATGCAAGGGAACAAGAATAAGATTAAAAGCTGACTTCTCATCAAAAACAATGTTGGCCAAAGGCAGTGGGATGAAATATTCAAAGTGGTGAAGAAATCATTAACCAAGAATCCCACATCCAGCAAAACTCTCTTTCAAAAGTGAAGATGAGGGCCGGCCCGGTGGCGCACTGCTACAGTGTGCCGCTTGAGAGCGCGGTGGCGCTCCCGCCGAGGGTTCAGATCCCACGTACAGACCGGTTCCCGCTCACTGGCTGAGCGAGGCGCGGGCGCAACACCGAGGGTTGCGGTCCCGTTGCCGGTCCCGGTCCGGTACGGGCACGACACTGAGGGTTGCGATCCATTGCCGGACACGAAAAAAGACAAAAAGGGAGAAAAAAAAAAAAAAGTGAAGATGAGTTAAATATCCATTGATGGATGAATAGATAATGAAAACATGGTATATATACACAATGGAATACTACTGTGCCATAAAAAAAAAAAAATGAAATTCTGCCTTTCACAGCAACACGGATGAACTTAGAGAAAATTATGTTAAGTGAAATAAGCCAGGCACAGATAGAGAAATACTGTGTGTCCTCATTCATAAGTGGGAGGAGGGGGAGAGAGAGAGAGAGGGAGAGAGACAGAGAGACACACAGAAAGAGAGAAAGATCACAGTAATACATTGAATTTTCAAAAGGAGAGAATAGAACTGAGGTTACCAGAGGTGGTGTGAAGGTTAATTCTAGGTGTCAACTTGGTTAGATGAAGGAATGCTGAGAAACCTGGTAAAGCTATCTTTTTAGGTGTGTCCATAAGGGTGTTTCCAGCAGAGATTAGTATGAGAATCTGAGTGGACTGGCTGGCAAAGATCTGCCCTCAATGTGGGTGGGAACCATCCAATCCGCTGGGGATCTGGAGAGAACAAAAAACAGGAAAAAGGTGAAGCTCTATCCGCTGGAGCTGGGACACACTCTTCTCTCCTGTTTGTGGACATCAGAGCTCAAGACTCTTCAGCTTTTGGGTTCCAGGACTTACACCAAGGACACCATCAACTTCCCTGGTTTTGAGGCCTTCAGACTTGGACTGAACCACACTACCAGCTTCCAGTTGACAGACGGCCTATCATGGGACTTCTCTTCACAATCACATAAGCTAATTCCCCTAATAAAACCCTCTCATATATTTATAACATATCTTATTGATTCTGTCTCTCCGGAGAACCCTGACTAATACAAGTTGTGGGGGGAGGGTTAGCAAGAAATTGGTAAAGGGCCATGAAATATGATTACATTGTATAATGTTGAATATACTCATTATCCTGATCTGAGCATCAAAATAAATGAATAAAATAAATAAACAAGGTTAAAAAAAATGAAGGTGAGTGATATCAACAAGATGGCAGATGAGTGAGTTCCAGGCTCTCGTTCCCCATAGCAGCAATGAATAAAGAGCTCCTGATCAGAATAACTTCATAGGAGCTCTAGAAACTGATCAAAGATCTACAGCAACAAGGTGAATGCCCAATCAAGAAAAAGCCACATTTGAGATGGGAGAAGGTGTTGTGGCATTTTCACTTGCCCTTACCCCACCACCTCCCCAATATTGTGTGACACACTGTGGGGGAAGCACAGTGTGGGTCCCAGTTGCCTTCCATAAAATGGAGAGCAGAAAGAACAAAACTGCAACATTCTAACACTCAACCAGCTAGGAATAGAAGGAAACTACCTCAACATTATTAAAGCTATACGGATTAGTCCATTTCTGTTGCTTATAACAGAATACTGAAATTGGGTAATTTATAAAGAATTGAAATTTATTTCTTATAGTTTCAGAGGCTGGGAAGTCCAAAGTCCAGGGAAACCATCTGGTGAGGGCCTTCTTGGTGGTGACTCTCTACAGGGAGGCAGGGTATCACGTGGCAAGAATGGGCTGAGCAAGAAAGATAATCTGCTCACTCACTCTTCTTATAAAACCATCAGAATCATTACACCCATTACATTCACCACCCCCTGAATAGATCAATCCATTCCCATGGGCACAGTCCTCACAATATAATCATCTCTTAAAGGCCCCACCCTTCAAATACCATAATAGGATTTCCCACACTCTTAGCACTGTTACAATGGGGTCAAGTTTCCAATACATGAACGAACTTTTGGGAGACAAATTTAACTAATAGCACCATATATGAAAAGCCCACAACTGTCATACTTGATGATGTAAGACTAAAAGCATTTCTTCTAAGATCAGGAAGAAGGCAAGGATACCTGTCTGCTTTTATCACTTCCATTCAACATAGTACTGGAAGTCCAAGCAAGAGCAATAAGGCAAGAAAAAGAAATAAAAGGCATTCAAGTTAGAAAAGAAGTAAAATTGTTGCTGTTCACAAAAAACATGATCTTATATGCAAAAACCCTGAAGATTCCATAGACACACACACACACACACACACACACAC